ATACTGTATATACTAAGAAATATCGATAATGATGTAAGAAGAATAATCTATGAGAAATTACTTTGGCCTTTTTAAAACGCAATTTTCATCTCAAAATACACCAAAATCGCTTCACATGAACACCGGTTCTGTAATCTCTTGCAAATTATCAGTACTTCCCCATCTACTCAACATTCTCTCACAACGGTTGTATGGCAACGATTTGCTACTCCCTTTTCCCCTAATTACTCCCCTTCTATATCTTCCAATTTTCCTGTGCTTCTCCATCTTTTCAATCGCCCTCTCTACCTTCTTTGTTCTATAGTTTTTATTTGAAACAATATCTCTAATTCCCTGATAATGTATTCATTATTTACCCACGGCATACTTACTTTACAAATCATGAACTATTCGACGAAAAACAAAATCAGGAATCACAAACTGCTTCGGTGCACCCAACAAATTTTGGTATGTAATCCTTTTCAAAGAATTTTTTCCGATTATGCTTACCAGTTATTCTCATGGTTTATTTGATTAATCTAATTGTATTTTAAAAAAAATTATGTTTGATGCACCTAGAGTCTGTGCGCTCAATTAATATAGGTGTGGACGCACAAGGAATACGAGGACAAATAAACTTGTCCGCTCAACAAATATAGGTGTTGACGTACAAGGAATACGAACAGAAAATGCCATTACGAGATTGAGGTACTTTTCTAATATTCTTCGCCACTCAGATTTTCGCGTAGTTCAGATATACTGATCTAAATATTTTGAACTACTATTATCATATATTCCCCTATTATATCACTAGGGTGTTAGGATTCGACAACAATGTCTTTCAATTAATGTTATAGTTTAGGTCATAATTTTCAATCTTCTCTACGTTATTGTTTTCTATTTGAAGCGACATATGCATATAACATTGGTTCAACAATGTAGTGATCATGAAAAAACCCCCCACCAAAATATGATCNACCCCCACCAAAATATGATCATCAAATGAAGGGGATATGCAAAATAATCGCCTATAATGTATCTTTGCTATTTAATCTCTAAAAACTTTGACGTATGTATAATCAAATGTTAAATTCATCAAAATATAGTATTGAATTTGAGAAGCAAGCAAGTGCAAATAAGATGATATAAACAGACATGAAATGTGCTGGTGAGGACTATAGAGGCTCAACTTATTGAGGTTTACAGACAGAGAAGAAATCAATAGAGGTTTTCACCTCTAACCACTTTCTTAGAAAGTTTCTCAACCAAATCA